AACCACGTGTCATGGCAGGGAAAATTGCCACGGATCCTGTTCGTCACCCGATTCAGCGTTCGCGGATGGAAGCGAAATTTTGCGAATGGTTCGTGACCCAAATTGGTCGTGAACAGAAGCGTTCGTGATCCGAGGTACCACTGAATAAGAATCTTTCCTGTGGGTTGCTTAAAATCCTATTAAAATATATGAAGATTTTGAATCTAACTGTAAGAAATCTTTCCATGGGAAAATGTTGTAGACTAGAGAAAAACATGGTAAGAGGATACCCTGAAGGCTGGTCAATAGAAGCAACCAGAAAGAATTAAAGATTACAGTTAAAGGAGAAAAGAGTCACTAAACAGAATGGAGGAAAGTATTTTAACTTTGGAAGAATTCAAGGATATTTGGCAACAATGTACTCTGAATTTTCTCTTAAGATTGTCTGCTACTATAACAATGGGTTTAAAAGAGGAGATAGAAAAGGATACCACTGAGAATCAGGCTGTTCTGAATATGGATTTAAAAATGACAGGCTACAAGAATGATATGGACAAAGATGTTATACAGGACTTACAAATGAAACCAGCAGATGTTTTAATAGCTAAAAGGGACACACAAATAATAAATCAGAAGAGAGACTTGGATGTGTGGATTTCAACTCAGAAGAGTGACTTGGACAACTTTCTTATCTTGGACTTACAAAAGAAATGTGTTATACTTATGAAGGAGTTCCTGAGAAAAGATAAAGAGAAAATGAAAAGGGAACAGAACTTTTATTGAGTAAATTAAAAGAATTTGGGACATTAGCAGGTTTCAATATTAATAAATACAAGACAAATATGTTAACAAAAAAATGAAGATACAAGATCAAACAGAACTGATGAATAAAATGGGTTTTAAGATTGAGAAGAAGGTAAAATACCTGGTATTACCATGACAAATATGAATTGTATGTTATTTCAAAATAACTATGTTAAGACATGGAATTAAGGTTAAAAAGATATGTTAAGATGGGATAAGGTACAATTGTCACTGTGACTAAGATCAATGTTTTATTTAGAATGTTATTTTTGTTTCAGACAATACCTGTTTTGACAACTGATGTACCATTTAAACAATGGCAGAAGACTATATCTAAATTTGTATGGCAGGGGAAAAAACCCCTGAGTTAAATATAAGGTATTACAAGATGCAAAGAAAAGTGGAGGATTGGGTCTACCAGATTTAAAATTATACTTTGTTGCCTGCTGTTTAGCTTGGATGAAAGAGTGGGTGTTGCTAAAAAATAGAAGGCTATTGGAGTTAGAAGAACATGAACTGAGATTTGGGTGGCATAGATATCTGTTGTATGACAAAGCTAAGGTTAATGTAGATTTCAAAAATAATTATGTAAGGCGGGCCATTCTTAGAGTATGGAATAAATATAAATCTAGGTTGTGCCCAAAAACACCTTTGCAGCTATCAGCACAAGAAGCATTTTATAGATGAGAAATTATAAGTAAACATAAATGGGTAACTTATCATGACATACTATAATTTTCTAAAGGGCATTGTAAAATAAAATCAAAAGATTTGACCACAGAAGGATATACTTGTCAATGGTTTTCTTATATACAATTATCAGAAAGGTTTAAAGTAGATAAAAGATTTTGTGGTTTTGAACAATACAAGACTGAGTTTGAAATAGAATTATGTATAAACGATGAACATGTTACTGCTAAAATGTATAAGCTTTTGTTGAAATATGAGACAGAAGAAGAGCAAGTGAAAGAATGTATAATAAAATGAGCTAACATTTTTGGCTACAATATACAAATGGATCAATTGGAAAATATGTGGTTGAAAGGACTGAAATTTATATTATGTTCTAGCTTTAAAGACAATTTTTATAAAATGATATATCATTGGTATTTGTTACCAGAGAAATTGTCTAGAATGTATAAAGGTGCTGTATTTTGAATCTTTGCAGGAAATGTGAACATGAAGGGACATTTTATCATGTATGGTGGACATGTAAAAAAACCAAAACATTTTGGATACAAATAAATACGCTAATTCAGAAGATTTTAAAGACTAATGTACAATTGAAACCAGAGACTTATTTTGGGATTAATGGACAGACAACTAGAAAAAAGCCATGGAACTTTGTTTTTATATATGACTACACCGAGATTACTATATGCTCAAAAGTGGAAAAGTTGGACACTATCCACAATAGAAGAATGGTTGGTGAAGATGATGGAACTTGCAGAGATAGCTAAATTGACTTCCTTAATTAGAGAAAAGACAATATCTCCATTTATGGCTGATGGAAACCCCTTACAGACTTTTTGCATGAAACAGAAAAGAATGAACTTATGACTTCTGGTTTTGATGATTAGAAAAAAATTAAATAGGAAAAAAGTGAGCTTTTTTTGTAATCATAGAGTAACAGATAACTTTGTAATCATAGATATCTGCTGCAAAGGAAATCGGAAGCTTCCATTTCTTTTTATCCTTTCTTTCTGCACTTTTTTCTTTTTCTTTGTTTTCTTTATTCTGTATTACTTTGTTTATGTATGTATGTGCGTGTGTGTGTGTACACACACACACACACATAAATAAATAAATAAATATCAAAATTGTCACCACCTATCTCGTTAGAATGTGACTCTGGGCTGTTTACAGAAAAGATAAATATTAATTAAAAATATAATATAGCAATTGTCCTAAATAAATAATAAGTATATTCCAAGAATTGATGGTA